TCCCCCCCCCCCCCCCCCAACCCAACACCATTTCTGCCTATCATTCAAGGGAAGAGCTTTTCTTAAACAAAAACTTCCTTCACTCGGTAAGAATTGTTCCCCCATTCTCTCTCTCTCTCTCCGCATGATTTTTCATTAGATACACATTTCCCTTTCAGATTTGCTACTCACTAATAGAGCTGTCAATACGGGCCGGTCCATCCCATTCCGGGTAGCCTTTACAGGCTTTAAAACTTTAAGGGTCGGGTCGGGATGGTCCATTAGTTTGGCGGGCCAAAAAAAAGTCAGTCCAACCACAACTACGTGGGCTACAGGCCGAGCTGGACTAGCCCACTTTTTAAAAATGATATAATTATTTATAATTTAAATTTTATTTTAAAATGTTAACAAAAATATCGACAAGATACTATTACATGGTATTACTTCTTGATAACCAACTCTCACATTCACAAATAAAATACTTTTAATAATACATTACGTTTGACTTCAAGTAAATTTTGGTTGTATGACTTCAATTTGAAATTATTGTCATTTTTTGTAAAGATCGTAGGTATAACTACAACAACAACAACATGCTGGTGAAACTTCACCAAGTGAGGTCTATGGAGGGTAGAGTGCACGTAGACCTTATCACTACCTCATGGAGGTAGATAAGTTGTTTCCGAAAGACCCTCGGCTCAAGCACATCAAACCCAAGTAAAAAGAAGAAGAAAACAATGAAGAATCATACAAAAAATGTAACTTTTATATTTGAGTATTTGAACTTTGTGATATTTATATGCTTAGTTTAAGACTTTAAGTTTAGATTCCCCTTGTTAGTTTTAGTATTCTATTTTATTTTAATTTTTAATTAATTTTTTATTTGGCCCACGGGTTGGCCCAACTCATATTGTTCAAGCCCAAGAGGCTAATGAGCTTATTCAGGTTGGGTTAAAGAGCCCTATTTTTAAATGGGCTCTAAAAATCTTAGCCCAATCATATTAATTCACGAGTTGACCTAGACTTAACCCTAATTGACGGCTCTACTCACTGTTGATGTTTTCTTCGTTTTTCAAGGATTCAACTCAGGTTAGTCATCAACTTTTTTTCCATACATCAATTTTTTATGGATTTTTTGTTTGTTGCTCAAGTTACAAATTCAATTCAGGTTAGGTTTGAACTTTTTACAAAAGATCAATATTTTTTATTGATTTTCCTTTTCTGCTCAAGTGGCTGATTCAAATTAGGTTAGGTTTGAGTTTCTCTGAATATATATTTTTTTATTGATTTACCTTTTAGTGCTCAAGTGACAGATTCAACTTAGTTTGATGTAGTATTTTCTCGATTGATCAATTTTTTAATTGATTTTTCCTTTGTTGCTCAAAAGATTCAACATAGGTTAGGTTTGACCTTCTCTTAATTATCCTAATTAGATTTACAAAAATTATGAAACATGAGAACCCTAACCTTTAACTTAAGAAAGATCATTTTTGTTCAACACTTTTTTTTCTAGAAGTAGGGAAAGTAAGGGAAGAGTGAATGAAGACCCCCATGGAGCGGTAAGGAGATCGATGAATTTTTAATCTACCTCTTTATGTATGAAATTACAGACATATATAGTGAATGGAGGAGCCCCTTCAACTTCGAATCATCTTCCTTATAAAGATACGTGATTCATTTTCGATACTCACCACTCAAAAGAACCAAAAAAGAAAAAAAGCTGGATATATCTAATTCAAAGAGTAGAATCTAAAGCTTGGTTCATACTAGATCTAACTTACAAAGTACTCACAGTTACAAGAGTAGATCATAACTGGATAAAAATATACATAGTACATTTCCACTTACAAGATGTAGCTTGGTCCAACTCATACATGTTATGTCACTTGCTCATTCTATTGTGTTCGATTGTGTTCATAGTTCTATGTATCCATGGTTTCTCTTGCAGCTCTTCGTGTTATTTACACCGACTTATCTAATCTAATCTAAAAGTAATCTATGGAACAAATTAATATTGGAAATAACCCTCATAGTGCATGCAGGCAACACAGAGGACACAATTTCTCTAATGGACCATCGCATGTCCTCAGAAGAAACCTCAGCTTTCCGTTCAACTGCATCTGCAGATAAGGTAATTGTCTGTTCTTTGGCATACATGTTTTAAAAATGATTCCGGCATATATTTGGACTGTTAGTTAGAAATATGTATTTTGCATAACCTCAATTTAAGAGTATATTTCTTTGAAGATGCCTCAGCTTGCTTCGAGCGTATCAACAACAAATGCTGAAATAGGGTAGTCCATTATGGTGGACAATATCAAAGAGCATAAGAAGAAAAAGAGGAGTAAGAATAAAAAAGCATGCGAGAAAAGGCAAGATACTGGTCCCGAAGAAAGAGAGTCTTCAACACAAGAAAACCAAGTGGACGAAAAACAGAAGGAACTTTCCTCTTTCTGGTTTAAACTTGTACCACAGGGAGGCAAGTAAGTACCAATATATATACCAGGCACATTGCTCGAAGGTTCTTGTCTCATTAATCTGACATAACTTTTTTCTTTTACTCTTGGCAGGAAGGGACTTAGATTGCCTCCCCTTGACAGGCCCAATATCCATCTCAAGTAAGATTTTCTGCACACAACATTGATTTAAAACTCATGCTCATCACCACGTAAAATGAAATGAGTGATTTTGAATCATTTGCAGGGACAGTAGCGCCACTGTAACTTTAATCCAGAAGTTCATTGCACAGAAGCTAAATTTGAATGATCATACTGAGGTAATGATTTTATAAGCTAAATTATGCATTTCTTTGAACTAGTTAGTTATATAAAATTCAAGAATTAGAAAATATATATACTAATACTTACTTAACATAGATAAAGGAACCTATGTTGAAACAGTTGACGATCTCTAATTAGAAAGACGAAACAAACATAAATAGGACAGTGAAACAGATTCTTGTTTTATACTACAGGAAGATATGTTGAAAATATTGCCACAGTACTGCTTTGCCACTGAATCGTCTTTATATCATTTTGTGCAGGTGGATGTTGTTTGCTGCGGTGAAAAGCTGAATGGAGATATGACGGTCAAGGACATTCAACTTAGATGGAAGTCACACCTTCCCAATTCTGGAAAGGGAAAGGTAAAATGGGAGTTGGAGCAGGCTATGACTCAGCTAGGATACATCAGAAGCAAGAAGCTTCAAAATCCACCCAAAAAATAAGTAGTGTGGCTACTGGCATCATGGCATAGAAGAAGTGAACTTCCTATATCACAACAGACTTAAAAACTTATCAGTAGACAATTTTTGTACTTGCATAATAATAGCCTCAGCTCAGCTATTAGTACCTTAATTCTCTGCTTTATTATCGGCAAACAATCTATGCTTTCGACTTGTGTTTCCTAGTTTCCTACCAAATATTATGCTATGGAAGTGAAGCTATTTGATACTGTTCTACCTATCTGATTTCATCATAGGAGTTGACACCCCTCCAATTGCTCTATTTTTTCATCCCATTCATTAGTGTTTGACATACAATTTGTCATATTAAGCACAGATAGTCATATCAAATATTGATTATTTATAATTCGACATAACAGTATTAATTCCTCTAGTAGTTCCAATGTTAGTTCATTCATATATAATTGTACTACACTTAATGAAAGTTTGAATCTGAATGGTTTAGACCTTAGGTCATAGAGTACATTTGTTATCATTAAGATTTAAGCATTTAATTAATCATTAAGATCTTCAACAAAGTCTTAATATCTTGTGTGGATAATATTCATTACCACTCTATCCACAATCACTAACCATCACCATTATTGTTGTCAATCACCAACCATCTTTGTTATCACGACCACCATTGGCAACCAACATCACTGCCAACCACTTTATACAAGCTCATTCGAAGGCAAATATCATTACACGTTCTATCATATGGAATACCATGAACTCAATGTTTGGTGAAAAATTATATTATACTTATTGGTTTGAACCCCTATTATATGTTTTGATAAAGGTACAATTGTTGAGTTCAAAAAAGATCATGAGCTAGATTTGCTTCGTCTAGCTTCATATTACCTATACTCTAGGAAGAGGCCTTGTAACATTATACTTGTGGTGATTAGGAATACGGGGTGGGGATACGATGGTGCTTTATAACATGGTAAAAGTTTTTACGTGCTCTGCCCCATTTTTTTTACCATATTGCTCTACTTATAACCACCCCAACCCACATGACTAACTCTATACAATTTAGTATTCTCTTTTTTTTTTTTTTTACATTTAACTCGCCTACCACTTCATCTTACTTTTGATATTAAAAAAAATAGATTTGTCCCGCATAAAACTCTCTTACACTACCCAGATTATGAGTTTCTCACAATGCACCACCTTCTCACTGCCATATCTTTTAATGTGGTGATTTGCTTTTCACAATGAAATGGTATAAATTAAATGGAAAAGGAGATTACAACATGTGGAATCATGATAAAAGTTCATGTAGCCAACCAACTGTACTGGCAAAACTCCTCTCTAAATGAATTATCTACAATGCTTTATTTTACTATTTAGTAACTAGATTCACTGCACGTGCGTTGCACGTGTAGGTTAAGTCCTGAGATCCCTATACACGAGATATTTTATCTTTTTATGTATATTTTAGGTTTTCAACATATCAATATGTATTTAATATTACACTACATCATACTAAGTGAATGTCCAATCTATTTGCCTTCTTGCTTGTTGGGCATGTAGTGACGAACGTCGTATGCTTAAATTGTTATTAGGCAATTTGTTAGTAAGTAATTGTGCACGAATTAACATTTTTTCCTCTTAGTTATGTCGTGTCATAGTGCAACACATAGTTTTCCATGCGAGAAAGCATGTTGTGGTAGGTATACTCCTACATTTGACATCTTTTGTCCTTTATCTTTATTTATCATCATTGCAAAAACATAGACGTATTGGAAATTGTTTCCGAATAAATTTAAAAGGGTATCCTTCATTTTCGTGGGGGGGAGGCGGGGGTGATAGTTGTATTGTTGGAGTAAACACATGTTTTGTGGCATATTGATCTGTTGTTTTTCTGCATGTATGACATTCTCGTTAGAGCCTCTACAAATAAACATGTCCCATTGCATAAGCCATTTGAGGGGTCCATTTTTCTCAGCAGCATGATTGGCACATTCTCTTTCAAAATTAACCTAATGTATAAAATTAACAGAATCATCAATTTTTATGTATATGTTATTAGGTAATTCTTTTCTTTCTTTTGTGCTATGAAGTATCACAATAAGATAACTGTAAAAGTTAAGATGAATTAGACAACATACCTATGAGGCGGAGTCCATTGGGCGTTAAGGTGCAAATCCAATCTATATAATGCATCGAGAGGAAAAAAAAAGGCCATTCCTTTATATAATGTTTACAAACATAATTTATTAAGTAATGAAATACCTTTGAGTATGGACTTATAAAAGGTAAAAGTATTTTTCCATATTCCTTCTTTAACGCCATTAATGCTCTCAGCACAATTAGATACTTCTATCAGTATTTAACTATTGATTGTTGTTCCTGCATTTGGCTGCCAACGCAGAACCCTAACAACAAACAAAGTAACAAACTGTACACCTAAACATACACACCAAAAACTTTCAAAAATGTTATGTTTCTAATGAATTCAAAATCTTTACCATTTGAGTGGCATGTTGTTATTGCAAGTACAGTTTCCTTTTTCCTCCTAACAAAAAATTCATCCAAAAAGAAAAAATATTTTGGCTAATACAAGGAAAGATAAGAGAATGAATCTTAAAGTAGTTGAAAGTGTCGGAAAGAATAAAACTGTATTTATAGTTGACAAGTACCTTGAACAAAAATCAAGTCATTAAATTCATGTCATATTTGGATTTTGTTACTAAAATTTCAACAAATTTACCTTTTATGGTTAAACTTATTAGATAATCAAAATAGTATTTCTTTCACCTTAATATTTTTTCCTGATTAGCATTGAAGATAGAAAGAAAGAATAATAAATATTCATCCTAAAAATGTAGGTCAACATCATATTTTGTCCAAATCGTATCTAGTCTATATATTTATTTCTCTTCATTAATATACCGTTTTATAAGAGGAAAAATTATGCTTTGAAGGATGAAAAACAAGTCAAAGATTTCATGCACGAATAGGAATTATTTTTATTAAAATAAAGTATGTACTATATTTATTTCATTTTATATGATACAATATTTCTTTTATACTTATTAGGTAATTAAAATTGTATTTTCATTCCTTGTAAAATCAACAGTTTTTCTTAATCTTCCTCAAAGATAGAAATAGAATATTAATAAATATTTATCCTTAAATGTAGTTCTGAATAAAATTTACATATTTATTTTTATTAATTAATATACCAATTAAAAAAGATGTTTTGAAGGATCAAACAAGTCAAAACATTCATGCACAAATATGAATCGTTTATAGTAATATAAAGTATATGCTATCTTTATTTCATCTTATATAATACAATTCTATATTAGGAGTCAAATAATTTCTATCCAAAATTCTTGTCTACCTTACATGCTTTTAATTATAAATTTTCGACTTAAAGTTAATTTTTTTAAAAAAAAATTAATTTTATTTTTTAATAAGAAAAATGGTACACGTAAAATTTGTCAACAATGTCAATTATAAGAATCAATATTTTTTCCAGATCACCTATCGCATTCGGAGTGTTACACTATTTTATTGTAATTAAAAGAGTTTACTTATTTAATTGTCTACTTATAAGTTTTCTCTTAATCCTGGCTAGTGAAATATCGACCAGGTAGGATGAGGATGAAGTGCAGATCAACTACTGTATGATCATTCAGCTTCAAAATCATACAAAGAGCCTGTTTAGATTAGCTTACTATAAATTAACAACGTGTAAATTTAAGTGCAAAAATTAATTTTATAAATAAATTGTTACAAGTTCGGATAGAGGTGATGAAACCGATAATAAAAAGTAGATGTGTTTGGCAAAAAATACTATTAAGTTGTGCTACTATTAAAATGACTGAAAGACCCTAAATATTGTCAAAAAATTATATATTAAAACTAATTCTTTATACAAAAGAACGGATGGCATATACCAATCAAAGAAATTTGTAATACCTAAGGGAATAAGTTGTTGAACTTTTTTTGTGTGTGGAAAAATGGGAAAATCTAGAAGGCCTCAATTTCAAGTTCAATAGCATTTTAGACATTCCACATTCATTGGTTGAACTTACATATTGATGAATATTATTTTTATTATCAAGAACTTATTGTAAGGTGATGAACTCCAAAGAAAATTTATCTTTTGTTATATTGAAAATGATGTCATTATTGTATTTGTTGCAAGGTAAAGGAAAGGACACGTATATGACTAGAACTCATCAATGCTACAGTTGCAAAGGAATATTGTCATAATGCTAGCAATTGTAGCAAGAATTTCTATAATTAGTGTAAATAACAAGGACACATTATCAAAGAGTATCCAACGTGCCCTCAAAATCGTAGGGCCAGTGCTTTTCAAGGTGGGATAAATGGTTCCACTATTGATAACTCATCTTCAGGACAAGTTCTTACTCCTAAAATGGTACAACAAATGATAGTGCCATCCTTTCAACACTGGTATTACAAGGTAATGATATTACATCTAATTTTTTGATTGTTCATTCGGGTGCTTTCAATCATATGGCAACTCAACGAGCATCCTAAAATATGTTCGTAAGTATCAAGGTCCATCACAAATACAAATTGTCAATTGTAGTAATTTATCCATTAACAAGGTTGGAGACATTACTCAACTTTCAAGAATGTTTTTATTTCACCAAAGCTCTCAACTAGTCTTATTTCAGTTGGACAATTAATGGTAGATAACAATTATTATGTGAATTTTTCTCGTAATGGTTGTCTACAGGATCAACTGTTGGAGATGATAATCGCGAAGGGGCCTAAAGTTGGACGATTGTTTTCTATATCGTTTTTCGTTCCTCATGGTCTATCTTTTGATTGTACTTCTACTCCTAGTAAGACTGAGGTTTGACATAAGCGTTTAGGACATCTAAATTTTGTTGTGTTTTTTCATTTATTAAATTCTAGTTTATTGGTAAACAAAAATCAATTTTCAGCTGCTTAAAGAGAGTGAGATATCCGCGCCTCAGCCTGAAGAGATTTTTATTTCTTCATTTTATTTTCAATTGAAATCTTGTATTTTTGTTATCTTGTAAATTTTGCACTGACAATAACTATTACTACTATAACAATATTGCACTTATAAATAAACTAATCCTAGTCGTAATTTAATCCTAGTCGACTTCAGCGCTAGTAAAAAAATTAGT